AGCATTCTGCTAAAAGCTAGTGATTACTGGGTGCCGAGAACTGACTCGAAGGCCTATTTTCGACTAGCAACTACAAAACAGAACTTCCATGGTCACTTCTTTCTCACTTAGCTTAAAACCACAATGGTGCTGAGATATTTGCAAAAGTCTGGACCACAGGTATCTGCGGTGGGTAACGAACGCGCTGTTACCTACTAAGCAGTTGTATTATGGTTGGATCACCAATAATACATCGACGTGAAAGACTGTAATAGGCAGTTAATAAAAAAAAGAAAGCTAACATTGTGATTTCGACTACTGCCTCAGCTTAACTGGCTTCGTGGCCGATTTTTGCTCCTCAGATCAATGATTGATGACGGCAGTGATCGATAGAACTAAACGAGAGATGGGCGAAATGAAGGACTCGCGTGGTGTGGTGATGAACGCGTTAGCTCCCTGAACAGAAAATAGCACTTTCGTTCCCCATCTCAGACACCCGCGTTTTGCAAATATCTCAGCACCATTTTGGTTGTATCACACATAGTACCCTGCGTGAAAAAGTGTAATAGCCAGTAAATAAAGAAACGCTAGCTTAAAACCCTTTATAACCCAGCAAAACTGGGGTAGAGAGGCACCTTGTCCTTTCACGGGCGAATGTTGGCGGTTCTTCATCGATGAAATATCGTACTTTAAAGGTGAAACCGCTAGAACCACGAAATATTCATGCCAACTGTCCTTATATGGAGAATGCTGGGCATGAATGTCTAAGAGATTTGGGAAGAATTCGTAGATGATCTTTTCCGTATTCCTTGACATATCACATCGAAATTTCTAGCGGCAGCCTTCTCTATTTTGCAAGACCCTCGGTCAATTTGTGGATGCTTTGTGAGAAGCTTGAATGCGACCATTATTGCTTTCTGAATGATGTAATCGCTTTCGGCTTTTTAGCGCTCTGATGAAGTATTGGATGAGCCGGTCGTACTCTTCATCAATGATGTATGCCAAAACATCTTACATAATGCTGGCTCAAGGTGTGAAAAGATCAGAATTCAGAATTCTGCGTGGCTTTCGGGACTTGTCCCATGAATTTTGGTACTTTCCAGTATTTTAACGAAAAGAGAAGCCTTCAGAGATGAGATGTTCTAATCGCACATGAACTTCATGGTAACGCATCGCGATATCATCGCTTCTGAAACTACGACTCTGTACGGATGCATTGATACTCTTAGTTGTCATTGTAAATTTAGATTCTCATCATATCTATTCCACTCTAGTACGTAGATCAACAATATGACGTCGACCTCCTCCTTGGACCAATCTTGTTTTCAAAATTTTCAGTGATTACTTTGAAGAGGGCATCAATTTCTCGTCAGAATTTCTCCAAATATGACGAGCAACATTGTCTTCAACGTTGCATGATGTTGTTCCGTAAGCAGTTAAATTCGTCAAAGCCACTAGTGATTCATATGTTTTCAACAGTAAACGTTCTATTCGGGTTGTAAGCTAATAATTGCTAGAAGTAATCACGCTGATCCACGGCGGCCCCTCACATCAGAGATCTTGAGCGGGTTAGTCGCAGGACTACGTGGAGCGCCACCTGATGGCGGATAAGGGTTAATTGCGGATAAAAAGACACCGTACGTTTCCCTGAGACACGCATGGATCTAGTGGACGGACTCTCAGTTTTTCATGCGCCGATTTGACACATACTTTCTGTGTTTACGAGGCGTATTCATGCACGCGTGTGAGAGTGCGTTGAAGTTTATGAGGATTGTATTCTACCAGTCATAACGTGATGCTAGTCATCACGAGCACGGTGCCAGCTCGATCCCACTCCGGACCGACCGAGCCTCTAATCCCTCCGGATTCGGGAAATTGATACCGGAGTACTCTGGATAAAAAACCACTCTCTGCAATCCAACCGGGAACACTCCAACCCGGCTATCTCAAGACTCCAGCGAGAATTTCTTGATTGGCATTCTACAACATTCAAGATAAAATGAAAATCCTCAAGCAACAACCGATGCCACACGTAAAAACTTGAAAGACCATCGTGACGATGTATGTGAGGAAACGAATTGGATGTGAGAACTGCTGGCATCCGCACAGTAGACGTGAGGACGGATCAAATAAAATAAAAAATTCTACGAGTCAATTCGGCCAAGAACCTCCAATCAAGTGACAGAGAAGTATATAAGAGGCGGCTAGGAGCCGCCTCCAACAAATAATCTCCATGTCCACTCTGGTAGAGACTGGTAAGCTACCCACGAGTGTGCCCAGCCCCTACATTCAGCGCCCAGCAAGCCATATATTGTTACAAAAATGCTAAACACATTAAAAGAAACGGGCCTCATGCCTCTGAACACTATTGCGCCCTCAATTTAGCAGCGTTGGGTAGGACGAGTACGAAGAGGCTACTAAAATCTCGCGGCCATTCTAGACTACCTAGGTGACAAAGGACTAAGGTAACGATCTGTAGCTACAATGCACGCACACTTGCATCTGAGTCCTCGATAGAAGACTTGCTCATGCAAGCAAGAAGGATAAAGTAAGATATCATCGGCCTGGCCGAGACGAGACGACGCCAACCATTCAACGCCGTCTGTGACACCGGAGAAGAACTGTTCATCAGAACATGCAACAATAGAGGAGTAGGCGGGGACGGCGTTCTCGTCAACGAGAATTTATCCATCAACATCGATTCATTCAAACAACTTACAAGCCGAATCAAACGCTTACGAATAAAACGATGTGTATCAATAACGGTTTTGACACTCTTCGTCGTTTACGTGCCGACATCAAACTATGACGAAGAAGAAGTCGAAGCGTCTATATGGACTTGGAGAAGTTCTACAGAGAAGACCACACATTCTTCAAGGTCATCCTCGAGATTTCAACGCCAAGACTGGACCAAGAGGAACGTCTGAAGAACGTCACATTGGGACCCATGTATTAGAACGGAACGAACAGGGTGAGCGGCTACTTGAGTTTATCATGGTGACCAAGGCAACCCATGGTAACTTGCAATTCCAGAAGCCCCATCCTCAGCGCTGGACGTGGGAATCTCCCAATGGAGAGTACCATAACGAAATAGACCACATCATAATAAATAGAAGGTTTTGCCTAACCGATGTCGTTGTTATCCCAAAATTCTACACTGGATCAGACCACCGTCTCCTTTGTGCAAGATTCTATTTCTCACGGAAAGGATAAAAAGTCGCTGAATTCAAAAACCGAAGTCCCAGAACCACCGTAAACTGGGACTTTAATTCATTCGTCGCCTGTTGGGAAGATGCCGTTGTCGATAACACCGACGAAGAATACGATCGGCTCATTCAACATCTTCACGTTAGTGCTATAAAAGCTGAGAGTGCGGAAGTCACCAACAGACCTCTGCCTCCAGGAACTCTCGATCTGATACGCCAGTGTGGAATCGCACGGCTGCAGAACTTGCAAAACAATACAGAGAGGCGGCAAAAGAAGATCTTAGAGAGAGAAGAGCAGCAGTAATGGTCGAAGCTGCAGAGGCTGCGAAAAACATTCGCAAAGACCACCGAAACTTCGCCAATTACAAGACCAAAATAATTGCTCTCCGACAGCCAGATGGAACAGTTACACCGTCCAGAAGGGCAATGGAGAAAATCATTCACGAATACTACTCAGATCTCTTCTATAGCCACGTCTACCTTCCGTCATGTGAAATAAAGGAGGATGGGTATGTTGTACTACCGGTTCTCCCTTCCGAAATCAAAAAAAATTAATGCAGATTGCCTCTAGAGTTTGGCGCGCTTGTGTTCTCGATTCTTGCGCGAGGATCGTAACCCTTACTTCAAAATCTTCTCCGTTATGTTTCTGCGTGCTATGCGTGCCTAGTGGAGTATTTGGTTTACGTTTGCCTATTAGGTGTTCATTTATACGCATGCAGAGTGGTCTACCCGTTTCGCCAACGTATTTGTCCCCGCACGCCTTGCAAGAGACCAGATAGACTGTACCCGAACTCATGCAGTCACCGTCTCTACCATTGGGGCAAATTACGCAATTATGCAATTATGCAATCCGCATGGAGGAATGCCTCATTATCACGCGTGATATTGGGCAGTATATAAGTCTGTTATTTTGATGAGATGGGCACAATACGATTTCGTGTGAACTCTCTGTCTGTAGTTGCTAGTCGAAAATAGGCCTTCGAGTCAGTTCTCGGCACCCAGTAATCACTAGCTTTTAGCAGAATGCTCGACTTCGTGAATAAATGCCACGCGGGACTTTTCGTAGTAGCCACACGGCAATACCTCAAACTTGGGTAATTAAACCTTTATATACATAAATTCAACAATAATAACATAATAGTAACTATAGAGAAGTAGTGGTAGAGGAATGAGACAAGTTAGAGCTCTGAGGTGCTAAGGCCTGTAGTGAAGTGAGGCTAACAATGAGGCAATAGCATTCAAACATTGTAATACCATTAACACAATATTAACAATAATAATGAGATTATAACGAAGTAGCCTTTGCTTAACCGTAAGCGATGCCGCGCCGCGCCTATTCGCGGCCGGCGCGGCGGCTGAGGGAGACAGTATGCTGTGGGCGGAGGGAGGAGACTGTATGCCGCGGAGATGGAGACAGTATGCTGAGGTGGTGAGGGTTACAGACTGTCCGTGTTTCGGCCAAGCTAAGATTTCAACATTATAGCGATGAGGAGCATTTTAGTTGATCGATGAGGACTGTAAGTTACATGAGTGTTGACGGTGCTATGGACAGTGAATGATGAGTCATCTACGGAACTCAGTCAGGCGGCTGGTCGTGAATAACGCTATGTCAGCAACGTGAACTTTGAGCATCGATGGGTGCCACCATTGCCTAAGGGTAAGGGCCAGTATGATAAGTGGCTACAAAACTGATAAGCCTATAGCGGCTTAGCAGAATATGTAGCATAAGTTGGCCGCTTAGCGGCATTGCACACATTGCGTGCACATTGTGGGAGGAATGGTACATGC